TTTTGCTGCTGCTGCATGCAGCAGCAACAGAAGATCTGTCTACTTCTTTAACTCTCTCTTCTGCTGCACCCCCCATATCGGTATGCCTTCTCGCTGCATCCAGCCCCAAACCCTCTGCTGCTGCATGCAGCTGCTGCGGCAGCAAAAAGAAAATAAACAGCCACAAGCAAACAGCAAGCATGCACGCACCAGCAGCAGCAGCAGTAACAGCAGCAGCAGTAGCCGAAGCAGCACAACAGCAGCAACAGTAGCAGCAGCAGCAGCAGCAACAGCAGAAGGTATTCGTCTACAGATTTGCATGCACACCGTTTGTTTCTGTATTTATCTTTAGGAAGATATGACAAATACATTTAAATGTCTTTCTTACGTTTATCTTCATTGATTAGTGCTGCATTATTGTTGTTTTAACGTCTCATTTGCTTGTGGTTTGTGTTTGTTAATAGGGTTTCAGGTAGCAGCTGCTGCCTCTTCCTTTCTATTAAAGGCTTGGGGCTTTGTTTGCATGCACTGCAGCAATGGAGTCCTCGACGCAAAGCAGCATTAAAGGCTTCTCAGCAGCAGCACCCAACTCTGCTGCTGCTGCAGCAGCAGCAACCAGCAACAATAACAACAACAGCAGCAGCAGCAGCAGCAGCAGCACTACACCCTCCTTAAGTACCAGCCCCGTCAACAACAAAAACAAAAACAAAAACAATAACAATAATAACAATAACAACAACAACAATAATAATAATAATAACAATAATAATAATAAACAGAAAGGAATGTGGAGATGCGGACGAGGACCAGCAGGAAGTAATAATTCAGGTGTATGCGCACCTCTTCGGGTGTCTGAAGAGGAGAAAGCTGCATTTACATCTAGCTGGAAAGAATTACAACAAGAAAATATTTCTTCTGCAGATTATTATTTTAATTCTTATGCACACTTCAGCATCCATGAAGAAATGATTAAAGACTCCGTTCGAACAAGTATAAACCCTCACAAACCCTAAACCCTCACAAACCCTAAACCCTCACAAACCCTAAACCCTCACAAACCCTAAGCCTTAAACCCTTACGAACCGTAAACCCTAAACCCTCACAAACCCTAAACCCTAAACCCTCACAAACCCTAAACCCTAAACGCTCACAAACCCTAAACCCTAAACCCTCACACACCCGTAACCCGAGCACACTCTAAACCCTTAAGGAAGCTCTAAACCCTAAAGAAGCCCTAAGCCCTGAACAAACCCTAAACCCTCAACAAGCTCTAAACCCTAAACCCTAGGCAGACTGTTTAGTAACCCTCACTGCAATCCAGCCAAGCCTGCCGCCAAACCCTAAACCCTAATAATGTGTTTGTGTTTATTACTGTTTATCCTTCTTTTTCTGTATTTGCAGTATTTATATTTATATCTTATTGTTGTCTCTATAATTTATTTAACAATATGCATGCATGTATGCATGGATGGATGAATGGATAGATAGATAGAAATATGTTTAGGGTTTATTGCTTGAAGGATGTAAGGGTATGGAATGCATTAGGGTTTAGGGTTTAGGGTTTAGGGTTTAGGGTGTATGTGTACAGGCAGCTATCAACGGGCTATAATGGAGAACAAACATTTGTTTGAAGGAAAGATAGTGCTGGATGTCGGTAGCGGTACAGGTATATTATCTTTATTTGCTGCACGTGCAGGAGCGCAGCATGTATACGGTATAGAGTGCTCAGAAATAATAAACATTGCTAGAAAGATAGCAGCAGCAAACGGATATGAAAATTGTATAACGTATATAGAGGGAAAAGCTGAAGAAATTGAGCTGCCTGTACAGCACGTTGATGTTATTATCTCCGAGTGGATGGGCTATTTCTTGCTCTATGAGAGCATGCTCGATACAGTTATATACTGCAGAGACAGGTGGCTGGCTGAAGGCGGCATACTCCTTCCTGATAAAGCACACCTCTATATTGCTGCTATTGAAGACGCAGATTATAAAGTATATATATCCTCACCTGCACTCAACACCTGCAGCAGCTACAGCAGCAAGCAGCTAGAGTAGGAGCAGCAGCTAGAGTAGTAGTACAGCAGAAGGGGAAACAGAAGTAGCAGATGCAGCAAGAGCAGCACCAGCAGCAGCAGCAGGAGCAGCAGCAGCAGCAGCAGCAGCAGGAGCAGCAAGAGCAGCAGCAGCAGCAGCAGCCCAATGTGAATGTGCTGACTTGAATGGATATAAATGAGTTGCGTTCTGTTGCTGCGTTTGTTTAATTAGGAAGAGAAGGTTGGGTACTGGGATAATGTCTACGGCTTAGATTTCTCTGTTGTCAAGAATTGCATCATTGAAGAGCCGATCGTAGACACTGTAGATGAAGCTGCTGTCGCTACCAACTCCTGCTGCGTCCTGGTGAGCCCTCTGCATGCATGCATGCATGCATGTTTGCTGCTGCCTTTTTTGCTGCTGTCTTTTTTGCTGCTGGGGTTTTGCTGCTGCTGTAGCTGTATGGATGTATGCACTTATAGCAGCAGCAATACTACGAGTAGTAGTAGTAGCAGCAGGATCGGCAGCAGCAGCAGCAGCAGCAGCAGCAGCCTGAGCATCAGCAGCAGGAGTATGTCTACTAGCGATAATTGTATATATTGCTGTATATTTAATTTATTTATTTAGTTATTTATTTATTTGTTTGCTTCAGGAGATCGACTTAACAACTTGCACAAAAGAAGAATTGAATTTCTGTTCTGCTTATAATATACAATTAAAGAGAAAGGATTTCTTGCATGCATTTGTAAGTTGATTTGGGGCTGGCTTTTAACTCTTCTTTTACTTCTTTAACTCTCTCTTCTTCTCTCTTGTCTCTATTTACTTCTTCTTCCTGTATATACACCGTAGCAACACCGTGTTTGTTTGCATGCAGATTATTTTTTTTTATTTGCATGCATGCGTATTTGTTTGTTTGTTTGTTTGTTTGTTTGTTTGTTTGAATGCATCAAAATAATTGATAATTATATGCATGCATGCGTGCAAATAATTGATACTTATATGCATGCATGCGTGCAAATAATTGATAATTACATGCATACATGCATGCATGCATGCATGCATATTTGTTTATTTATTTGTTTGTTTGTTTGTTTGTTTGTGTTTGCATGCAGGTAGCCTGGTTCGATGTTGTGTTTAGCTACTGTCATAAGCCTGTTGTTCTGAGCACTTCACCTTTATCTAGATATACTCACTGGAAGCAGACTGTGTTTTATATGGAACATGTCTTAGTAGGTGAAGTAGGAGACAGCGTAACAGGTTTAATTGCTGTGAGAAAGAACAAGAAAAACCCTAGAGATCTAGATATTAAAATCTCATACAAGTTTCAAAATCGCCTAACACCTAAACCCATTCATAACACGCAATTCTACAGACTCAGATAGCTTCAATACCCGATACATACATACATACATACATACATACATACATACATACATACATACATACATACATACAAATGCATGCATTTCTATGCATGCATGCATGCATGCATTAGTGCATGCATTTGCGTATGCGCTTGTGCATACATGCAACACACCTGCATGCATGCTACTGCTTGCATGCATGCAGCAGCAAGAAAAATGCATGCATGCATGCATGCATGCATAACGTGTGCAGCTGCCTGCGGTATGCAAGCAAGGCGCATGCAGCAGTGGGGTGGCTCTCCTTAATGGTAATGTCACTCCTGTCGTTGCTGCAGCTGCTGCTGCAGCTGCTGCTGCTGCTGCTGCACTGTAGCTGCGGCGGCTGTGAGGCCTTCAGGTATTCTGCGCGCATGTGTTGTGTTTATATGCATATATAAATAAATATATAAATATGTTTATTTATATATTTATTTATATATTTATATGTTTATTTATTGATGTGTATATTCAATGCACATGCGTATAGGGCGCATGCTGCAGCAGAAGCGAAGGGTTTTTGTTTGTTTCCTTGGTGGTGGCTAGTGTTATTATTATAAGGATATTATAACTAATAATGCATTAAACGAGGGTCTAGAGTGCATATATGCAGCAAAAAGAAACAACTTCTCTCCCGCTACTCAACAAGTTAATTATTTAATGTGTTTAGGGATCAAACAAACAAAAAAAACTTAAAAACGATTTCAGGTGTATCTGCAGCTCATGGCTATACTCTACCCTATGCAAGGGCAACGACATAAACAGCATTATAATAAATTATAATAATAATAATGTTAGTAATATTAATAGTAATAGTAATGATAATAGTAATAGTAATAGTAATGGTATTGCTTATCCCAGATATTATCATAATAAATTGTAATATTTGTTCGTATCTATTATTGTTAATTGCAGACAGGGCATTTAAACAAAAAACACTATTTGTTCTTTATTATTATTATGTAGTACAGAGACGACTAACCATTATACTAATAATAATAAAAATAAATTATTATGCTTATTATTGTTTTATTTTTTGTTATGTCTGATGAGGAGGATTAGTTGTTTGCAATAACGATTAATAATATGATTTGTTAGTAATAGTCAATAAGGATTCATAACAATAGAAAGTGCAATAGAAAAATAATAATATTAACAATAAGAGTAACAGAAGTGTAATAATAATAATGATGTTGTAAGTATGGCTTCATACGATTCACACTCATAGACAGGGTAATCTGTAAACATATATGTATATATAATAAAAATAGTAATAAAGCTAATAATAATAGTAAAGGAATAATAATAAAAATAATTAAATAGATTTGGTGTTGTTATTGAAATATCGTCAGAATAAGAAGACAAGCAAACGCCACCACTGCTGAAGGCATGCAAATTACTGCGGATAAGAATGTTAATGCATGCATGCATGCATGCACGCATGCACACAAATATAATATTAAATAAGATTTACTAAAAGGAACTACAGAAAATAAAAGAACGTCTATTGCATGATAAAGGTCTCTGTACTACCAGGGAGGAGGGCAGCAGTATTCATATTATATATACATTGCGCAGGCTGCTATATAAGGAGAAAGAATGTGCTAGAGAGGCTGAATTCAAAAAATAAGATTAGATTAGAAATAAAAAAGATAAAGAATTTCTTTTGCTTTATTTTAATATATTTTTTAGTTTTTTCCTTCACGTTTCAGCAGCGCGGAGAAGGAGGGTGTGAGTGGCGGCTGGAATTCTCTGGGTTGCATGCAGGGGGGTTTGAATCGCTAAAAGAATTGTTTCTTGTGTCTTAAGAATAAAAGAAATATAAAGTTTATTATTAACAGAATTCATTTATTTGCTGCTTTCTTCTTTTCGTAGATCGCGACGCATTTCCCTTACGGAGCTTTCATCAAGCGAGCTGTACATACACCGCAGCCGGCCCTGAGTGGAGTTTCTGCATTTCTTCTTTTTTCATAACATAATCCATATTAATTCGCGATTTCTCTTGGTTTTTCTTTCTATTTGCAGCAATATGTCCACATGATTCAGACAATTACCTCCAGCTTTCCCTGCTCTCCTCTCAAAGAGGTTTCAGCAGCCACACGCGGGCTGCGTCTTTCTTTACATCTTGCTGGAGGCCTTGTATATATATAAAAGAACGAAAACAAATATCTTTCAGACTTCAGAATTCTTCTGCTGTAGCTACTTCTCTTCTCTCCGCCTGTCTGCGGTGTATCTTCAGCTCGCTATTGTGCGTGTAAATCCTAGTGCTTGAAGGAGATTATTGAAAACAGAATAAACTCTTCTATTAATATCAAAAGAATAACATTCACTTTTCTGCTAAGAACAGCAGCATACAAACACAGCTACAGCAAACAACAACAGCAATAACAGCAGGAGCAGCAACAACAACAGCAGCGACAGCAACAGCAAACATTCACCAGAAGGACTATCCTTAGTCGTTCTCTGGCGTTTTACTTTTTCATTCTTTTTTCTTTTTCTTCATTTTCTGCTTCTTCAGATCACGATGAGCTCCCGCCCTCGCGATTAGTGAGTGCTTCTTATAATGTCTCTTTTCTTGTCTTTCTTCGCTTTAAACCAACCAACTGAACAGCAGCAGAATCTCCTCTACTTGAAGCCTCTTTTTCTATTTCTTCTGCTGTGCTGTGCAAGCAACATTCATACTGCTGCTGCTGCTGCTGCTGCTGCTGCTTTTGTGTTGCAGCGATTATTTATTCAAGTTGGTGCTTATAGGAGACTCGGGAGTAGGAAAGTCTTGTTTATTACTTCGCTTCTCTGTACGTACACTTCAAATAAAATAAATAAAATCAGTAAATAAACATTCTTTCTTTTCTTCCTAAATAAAACAACTAAACAACTAAACAAACAAATAAGTAGCTAACAAACAAAATAAATAAATAAACATCGTTTTTCTTTCTTTTATCTGTTTTTCTTCTTTTCGTGGTTTTACTGCGCATTCTAGGTACACTTAAACCCTAAAACCTAAACCCTAAACCCTTTGTTTGTTGTTGCGTTCAGGATGACGCTTTTACTGAAAGTTATATCACCACCATTGGCGTTGACTTCGTTCGTCTTAAGAACCCTACCTATACTTTCTTTACTTTATCTTTTCTTTATCTTTATCTTTTCTTTATCTTTATCTTTATCTTTTCTTTATCCTTTCTTTTTATTTTTTATACTTTGAGATGCCTTCATTTGTTTTGCTTGCATTCATTCATTTGGTTTTTCTTTCGCTTTTTTACTTGATTACTTGTTTATATATATATGTACATA